GAGGGCCAGGCGTGGGAGCGCGCCTCGGTCCCACCAACCACGCGCTGTGCCCCATCGAGGTTGTGCTCGGAGCAGCGTCCTGCGGGAGAGAGGATGAGGAGGGAGCCGCTGGGGAGGGAATCGCAACCGGGGGGGTCATCACCGGCTACGGAGGTCCCCTGGAGGACGCACCGCAGAGGGCGAGGGCGGCGAGGAGCACGAGCTGCAGCATCATCCCGGACCATTCGGCAGCGGCGGCTTTAAGGGGGACGAGGAAGGGGGGACGGGAAGAAACGCAGGTGACACCTCGGTCCCTCGTCCAAAACACACACGGCCCTGAAGGTCAGGGCTGAAAACTCTCCCGGGCGCAGCCCAAGCTCCCTTCTCGCAGCTTCTCTTCTGCGCAGCTCAAGCAAGGCTGGTTTCTGGCCGGAAGAGTTTTATTTTTCCCGCTTTATAAAGAAATTGAGGCTGTTCTGGGGCAGGTGTGAACACGCAGCACCCAGGTTTCCGCTCCGTTAACGGAGCAATCGTTGGAAAACAGCGTTTGTGATAGTGGCGAGTATCTGTTCACCCAATGAAAAAAACATATAAGAAAAAAGCACCTGCTGCATTTTTCCTCTTATCTCTAAGGAAAACATGAGATTCCATGGGGAAAACAGTCTCCGGCTAATCACTTCTTTATTTTATCAGCGCAGAAGGGAACACAGTGAGGGACGGCAGCGAAGCCTCCGCCCTGGCACGGGCACAACCCAAATTTGAGCCAGCCCGGATGTGACAAGTCACCGCAAAAGCAACTTTGAACCTACTTTGGGGCCACAAAGGCGAGTTTCCAGGGCAAAACGAAGGAGAGAAATTAAATTAGAGCAGAGGTGGGAGCTCAGAGGAAGCTGGAGATGCGATATCCATAAAATAAATCAACTCTTTATTTGAGGTCGTGTATCTAGACAGGTTCTCCCACCCGGATGCCACTTCGAGGAGGGGATTCCCCCCCGTTCGTATGAAAGAAAAGGCGACGAGAGAGGCAGCTACAGGAGTTGGGCTTGGAGAGAACTGAAGGAGGGAGATCTCGTGGTGATGCCGCGGCGCTGTGCGTCTGGGAAGAGTCCCCCCGCTCCACATGGGCACGAGGAGCAGCAGAACCACGTAACAACGATAATAATAAAAATTAACTTCCCCGTGCCCCAAATCGAGCCGGACACCCAGGCAGCCCCGCTCCTCCCAGCCTGGCAGCGGGGATGGGGGGAAACCAGACCCTGGTGGCAGCGCCGGGGGGTCCTCTCGCCCACAGGGGGCCCTGAAGATGAGCCCATCATCATCCTCCTCCTCGCTGGCAGGAGTTTCCTGCCCGGCTCTCTGGCACGGAACAGCGCGGCCACTGGTTTCAAC